CTTGTATCCCAAAAGTCACACTGCTTTTGCAGTCATTTGTGCATGCGTGCGGAGTGGTGAAAAGTTTGAGTCTCAGGACAGACGTTTCCCATTGAGGTGAAACCAGGTGATACTCTATTTTGGCTCGTACTGTAAGCAGGTGTTTTTTGTGATCTATTTAGTGCAATGATTTTTTCATTGTTTGTTCTTTCTATTGGTGATTTCGCTGTTTAAAATGGCCTCTAAGCCTAGTGCTGAAGTGCTGTCTGATTCCTATACAGGAGGAGGCGACGTGCGTTAAAACGATAGTACGTGCGTTAGAGAAGCTTCCTTCAGACATGAGTTATAGTGCTGTTGAGTGAGTTCAATATTGATGAATAAACAATATGTATTAAATAAGTTCTCTTTAAACAGAAACACACATTAAATAAGGTCATGTACTGACTGGTTGACAAAAATGTAGACCAGAGACTCACAGGAACCTAACCTAGTATTTCCCCTGCGAGCAATGTTTCTGTGGTGGAGGCCACACTGTAGAAAACAACTACTTTGAATAAGGAGATTTGACTGTAACTAATTATCTCTGTTATTTAGAGCTCAGCTTCCTGAATCCCTCAGTGCCTGGCCCAGTGCTTGACACATTCAAGGTTCTCTCTCTCTCTATATTTTTTGAGACAGGAGTCTCGCTCTGTTGCCCAGGCTGGAGTGCAGTATTGTGATCTCAGCTCACTGCAACCTCCGCCTCCGGGGTTCAAGCCTCAGTCTCTAGTAGCTGGGACTACAGGCATGGGGCACCACGCCTGGCTAAGTTTTGTATTTTTAGTAGAGACGGGGTTTCACCACGTTGTCTGGGCTGGTCTCGGACTCCTGACTTCGTTTGCCTTGGCCTCCCAAGGGCTGGGTTTACAGGCGTGAGCCATCGCACCCGGCCTCCCAATAAATATTTAACTGAATGAATGAATGTTTACTTGCTGGTTGTATTCTTTTGTGAATTATATGTTCATCCCTTTGCTTGTACACTGATTCAGTCTTACAGATTTTCGTATCAACTTGTAGGAATTTTTGTATAAAATATCTGCCTTTTATTTTCTTGTAGGTCTGGGATAAAAGTGAAAGTGGTGATTGGCATTGTACTGCTAGCTGGAAGGTTAGTGTTTATTTTTACAGTTATTAAAAATACAGAAATATTTACTGTTTATTGCATAGTTATCAATGAATTGTTTTGAGAAAATGATAAAATTAATATAGTAGTTCTTTTCCTGGAGAGACATTTTACTACTTTTCACTATTAAAGTAACAAGTGTGTTTCTCAGAATTTGAGAGTAAGAAAATCTGTAATTATGTAGCATTCTAACATAATTATCTTAGTAATTCAGAATATTCCTTTTTCCTTTATGTATTTTAATAGTTGTAATGTTACATACATACTTTTCTCTTTAAAAAAAAAAAACCTTTACTCAAGTAGAAATTTTCTTCCTTTTTTGGGGGGGGACAAAGTCTTACTCTGTTGCCCAGGTAGGAGTGCAGTGGTGTGATCTTGGCTCACTGCAACCTCTGCCTGTTGGGTTCAAGTGATTCTCCTGCCTCAGCCTCCTGAGTAGCTGGGACTATAGGCACGCACCACGATGCCCGGCTAATTTTTGTGTTTTCAGTAGAGATGGGGTTTTGCCATGTTGGCCAGACTGGTCTCAAGCTCCTGACCTCAGGTTATCTGCCCTCAGCCTCCCAAAGTGCTGAGATTACAGGCGTGAGCTACCGTGCCCGGCCAAGTAGAAATTTTCATACCTTAAAAGTCATCCATTTTAAATGTACAGTTCAGTGAGTTTTAGTCAACTTACAGAGTTGTGCAGCCATCACTGTGATCCGGTTTTAGAACATTTCTCTCAAACTCAGACGTTTGCTTGTGGCCTCTTCCCACTCCAAGCCCCAGGCAACCACTGATCCATTTTCTGTCTCCATAGGTTCCTCTCCCCTACCCTCCTCTGCCCTTTTCTTGAGCTGGAGTCTTGCTCTGTCGCCCAGGTCGAAGGGCAGTGACGTGATCTCGGCTCGCTGCAACCTCGGCCTCCTGGGTTCAAGCAATTCTCCTGCCTCAGCCTCCTGAATAGCTGGGAATACAGGCACCTGCCACCACGCTTGGCTAATTTTTGTATTTTTAGTAGAGACAGGGTTTCACCATGTTGACCAGGCTGGTCTCAAATTCCTGACCTCAAGTGATCCACCCGCCTTGGCCTCCCGAAGTGCTGGGATTACAGGCGTGAGCCACCGCGCCTGGCCTGGTTTATCCTTTCTATAAATGTCATAGAAATGGAATTCTGAAATACATAGTCCTTTGTGTCTGGTCACTTTCCTTTTG